ACCTCTGGTGCAGGCGATGAAAAGGTACATTATTTGTAAAGAAATTTAGACAATAATAAAATGGAGTAAAACTCAGTCTTTTTAAAAAATTATCACCATGCATCAGCAATTCCGAGCAATATAAACTCATCTTCCCCGCAAGGGCAACCACTTCCGATCCCCGCCCTCTCCCCATCTTGGTACGCAAATGGACACATTTGTTGTTGAGAGACATTTTATTTCTGGAGTAAAAGTATCAAGAGAAGTAAGAAAATGATAGAATTATAGTTCAGGTGAGTGATTTTTCCTTGGAAAGGAGAATACTGTTGGGGACAGGAATAAATGTTTTCAAAGGTATTCCTTATGTTCTACTTTTTAAACTGAGCGATTGTTTATCCTATTTTAATATCTTATTAATGTACAGGTGGCTTACAACTTAATGATGGTTCAACCAAGGATTTTTCAACTTTATAATGGTGAGAAATTGATACACATTCAGTAGAAACTATACTTCGAATTTTGAGTTTTGATCTTTTCTCACATTAGTAGTATGTAGTATAATACATGCTGGGCCCCGCTGTCAGCTAATGGAAGTGTCTGACTGTTTAAGCAGGCCAGCTAAGCTACGATGTTCGGTAGGTTAGGTGGATTAAATGCATTTTCAACTTACAATGGCTTTATTGGGACATAACTCCATCATAAGTCAAGAAATATTATTTATTTATGTATTTATTATGGGTTTACTTACATCTTCTTCTGTATGTATGAAATATTCCACACTCAAGAGAAAGAAAATTGAAGAAGCAAAATCAACAAGGGGTTGAATGGTGTCACCCCAGCCCCCCGATGAAGGAGGGAGGACCTGTGCAGGGCCTGGGATGGATCCAGTGTGGAGTGGGGGTTGGAGAGGAGGTGTTCTGTAGTGCCTTGGAAGCTGCAAACTCAGGAAAGAATAAAAGTGCAACGTTGATGATAAAATGATGAGAAATCCTGTAGTGACAGCCGCAGGCACCCGCCCAGGCTGCAGCCAGGGGACGTGGGGGCCTGAGCTGAGGGGGACTTCTGGGAGGCATTCCCCTCTGGGCTGAGGAAGCTATGGACACAGGTGAGGTTTCCAGGAAGTGTGCGTGCAGTGGGAAGATGGAGGCCAAGGTCAGAGGCCCTGGAGCACTGACCTTCAGGAGAAAGAAAAGCCCTTCAAGCTGAGACTGAACAGAAGGGGTAGAGTGGCTAGGAATAAGTGGGGTGTCTAGGGTAGGGGTCTGGTCAGCAGGGTCACATGCTGCTGGGAAGGCAATAGGACAAGGCTCCTGGATTTCACAGCAAGGGCCATTGGTGACCTTGTCTAGAGCCCTTTCATGGAGTAGAGGCTGGAGCCAGACTGCAGTGGAGGAACAAGTAACTCAGAGGAAGGGAAATGAGGGTCAGGAGTGGAGACAACTCTCAAGAAGTTTGGCTGAAAAGATGAGGAGCCACCACTGGTAAGAGGCATGGAGTCAAAGGAGGGATTTTATTAAACTTTTAAAATGTTCTTTTAAAAATCTTTAAATCTTTAAAAAAAAGCGCAGCAGGTGTCTACTGGGGCTGAAGCCTGGGATGCAGTGACATTGGGGGTGGGGTGCTGTCTGCTACGTGGGGAGGAGTACTTTATTACTGACTTGTTCGGAACCACTGGTATATGGTGATGGTGGACGATAAGAGGAATCAGACTGACATTTAGTCATTTTTATTCTTGTTTAGTCATTTTAAATTCTCTATAGATAATGCACCCTTTCCTGCCTGCTCCAGGAGAGACTGCTCCTACCACCTGGCCCTTGGTGCCACCAGTGAGGGTGGGGGGACAGGGTTCCTCTCCAGGACCTGGGTGTGCATCCTGACTTCTTCACATTCTGATTGGTCCAGAGTCAGTTCCTTACCTTCTTTGAGCTTCAGTGCCCTTTGGCTCACTGGACTTGAGGCTAATTCTCTCTCCATCAGGGTTGTGGTGAGGGTGGAAGGAGATACGAAAACACAAGGAGCCGAGCACACAGTAGGTACTTAGTGTCCTTTTGGAGTCAGGGGACAGAGAAGACAGTGACTGATGTCGCCTCACCACCTGCCCCTTGCCCTAGGAGCACGGCCTTGTTCAGGCACCTGGGGTTGACCCAGTGGGGATGGACAGAGTGGTGGTTAGTGGGTAGGGGTGAGCATCCTCAGGTACTGGCCCAGATTCACTCCACAGGTTCGGCAGGGTCCGCAGCAACCACTCCCACCCAGCACTTCACCAGAGTCGCTGTCTGCAAGGATCTCCCCAGAGCCACAGAGGCCTAGCCTGCACTCAGCCCCAGAGGTCCCCAGAAAGCACAGCTGCCTGGGCCGCAGGGGGCAGTTGTCATGGGGACGCTGGGCCTGCCAAGTTGCCTCCTTAACAACGGGACTCCCAGGCTGGTTACCATGGAAACAACATCCACTCAGCAATCAGTGGTGGGGACCGGGTTCCCTGCCCTTTCTGGGGACTTTCCTCTCTGGCAGGCAGGCGGGCAACACGGCACTCCCTGCGCTGCTGGAGGCCCTGGGGACTTCGCTTTTCTGGCCATGAATTGCTGCCTCTACCCTACCCTACGAGGTCCCAGGGCCTGCAGTGACTCTCTGCAGCCAGGTGAGGCAAAGGCAGTTGTCTGAGGACTTCGCAGGGGGTCTGGGGGGCCCTCAGGTATCCCAATACACACAGGAGCAGAGGCTGTGGCCCATCCTTGGCCACTGTGAAAGGCAACCCTCTACCCTGGCCACAAAACCCCTCATCCTGGTCACTTTTTTTTTCCCCCCAGCCACTTTCCGGCTTCTGAGGGCCCATCTGATCAGGGTGAGAGGGCATTTCCCTCTTCAGTATCCAGCAGGAGTTCACGTGCACATTGCTGCCCTCCTCCTTCAGGGAGCATCAGAGAGTCCCAGGGACTCTGGAGCCCTGGCAGCTGGGGCAGGAAGGATCTGGGTCCGGGTCTTGCACCTCCACCAGTTGACAAAGGACACATGCCCTTTCTCAATCACTCTCTTTCTTACTGAAACTCATCAGCCCATAAACGATGCACACCTGCATCCATAGCCAGCAGAGTTTTGTACACACAAGGGTCCACACGTGCTCTAGGGAACCTGTCCCACCACCCTCCGCAGCCTGGCTCCTGAGCCCCCAGTATGCCCTCTTCACTTCACTCTCCGCTCCCAACCCCTGGCCCATAGAAGAAGGCAGCATCTGCTGGAATTTTTTTGTTTTATTTATTTAAATAAAATATACAACACGGTGCGTTTACCGTTTTCTGTTTTAAAAGTGGAAGATTTGAAAACTGCTTGTGAGGGATCGGGAATAAGAGGGCCCACTGACTGGTTCTGGCTTCCCCAGTCTCCACAGGGTGGCTAGGCTGAGTCAGTTTTTATAAAGTGTGCATGTGTGTGCGTGTAGAGAAGAGGGTGGGGAGGCCAGGCCCTGATGGCAATGGGGGGCTGTCCTCACTCCTCATGCCCCTGGACCCTCCACCCCCACTCCTGTCCCTTCCCGACCCTCCCTGTTGCCTCCAGGACCAGACTGTGGGTTTGGATCAAGTAAGTCCTACTGCCTTCCTTGGGGGTGCAAGAGCATCTGCAGAACTCAGGTTGAGGCTCCTGTTTAAATTCTTCCAGCTCTGACAACTTCCTGGGTCTGAGGGGGCTTCTCCTGCCCAGAGGCCAAGGCCAGGTGGCTCCTCATCTCTCCCTAGGACCCCGGGACACTTCGGCCCCTTCTCTCCTGGATGATTGCCTCCCAGTCCCTGTGGCCCATCATTGGAGAAACTCGCCTGTCCCACAACCCAGGACAGCTCAGGACAAAAACAAACCTTGCCAGCATTCTGGCTTGGAGCGTGAAGGAGAGTTCTGGATGGGCAAGGTGGGACCAACCCTCCTCCTCCTTCAAGTCTTAGCAACAAACCTGCTTCTGCCCTACAGGCAGGAGGCAGACTACTGAGCTTGACTCTGGCAGGATTCTTGCTGGAGAGGATTGTGCCTCAGGAGGCACGGACCCCCACTCTGGAACTGCTTCTGGCTCCTAGTTGCCTGCAGAATCGGGGCCAAGCCCCTCAGTCTGTCATTCAAGGCTTTCCCTCTGACCACCGGGCCTCAGGATCGCCTTCCTCCCAAAGCCTCCGACTCCACAACCCCACATCCGCCTTCGTCATGCCCCTGCTGTGCGCTCCGTCCCACCCTGTCTCCCTCCTTTCTCCCTTTCCTTTCCTTTTCCCTCCCTCCAACTCTTTCCACATCTCAAGGCCTGGCCCAAGCCTACCATTCGCCACACGTCTTCCTTAGGCCCTTTGGGAGGCCCAGCCACCTCCCATGTCCTGAGATCATAAGCCCTGGAGTAATCAACCGAAGCTCCCTGGGCTCTCACTGCAGCTTGCTGGAGCAATGGGCTGGGCACATGAGGAGGGACAGAAGAAACATGATTTATTGAGCACCTGCTATGGCATGTGCTAGGCGCTGGGCCGCGCATTTCACATATACTATTTTTGTCGTCTGGTCCTTGTGGGGAGGCACCATAATGATTCCCATTTTACAGGTGAGGTAACAGACTCAGAAAGATCAGGTAACTGGCCCAAGGTCACACAGCTAAGTGGCAGGGCTGGAATTCAAACCCGGGCCTGATTGCCTCTAAAATCTGGTCTCTTCGCTCTGCACCATGCTTAGAGACTATCGAACTCAGCCTCTCTCAACAGCTGTCCGATGGAAAGAAGCTAGCCTTCAGCCTCAGGCAGGTATGAATTTGAATCTCAGATCAGTCCCAGCTTTGTCACTCCTAATTACGTGATTCTGGAAAAATTACTCAAAACTCAGTTTGCTCATCTGTGAAACGGGGAGAATCAAAATCCCTACCTCACGGTCTCTGTGAAAATGAAAGAGTTAATGTGTGTAAAGTGCTAAACCAGTGCTCGGCACAGAGCAGAATCAATAACTACAAGTTCTCCCCTCACCCTCCACCACGCCGATGGGAGAACTGAGGGCCGTAGAGGCGACGGGATATGCTTGAGGACCTACAGGAAAGGAGAGGCACAACCCAGAGTCTTCTGCTTCCAGTGGTGAGAGGCTGGGCTAGAACTGGACTGGAGACCAGAAATGGGGAGAGCGGGGGCCTGCCGAAAGTTCCTGGGGTCCTCTTCCTTGAGGACTGGAAAGAATACTTCCCCTAGGCCATGTGGTGCCCTGCCTTCGGGCCAAGGCGGGCTGCTGGAGGTAAGGTGACCTGGGTGTCCTGGCAACACGGGGTTAAATTAGATTGCACACACGTGTGCACACATGTGAATGCTATCTACATAGCTCTACAGAGCGCTACATAGCTATACATATACACATCTTACATACATATACATATACATATCTTGCTATGTTTGCAGTAAAAAAAAATGCAAGGTTCTCAGGTCCCTGGCCTCATTTTGTTCCAAGGATCCGGGTGACCGAGGCTTCCCAGGATACATCCAAGAGCAGCCCTTTGCCCAGGGAACAAGATGACCCTCAGCATAAAGGGGTCCCAAGTTCACAGCTAAGGGGCTGGTGGTGGCTGGTGCCCTAAAACGAATACAAAGACAGATCTGCCCTAGGAACCCCAAACATGGGTCTCCCCCCACCCCTGCCAAGCCCCAGCAATGCCCTGCCTTCCTCTGGCTTTGCATTTGGGCCTTGCCTGCTCCCCTCCCTCCTCCCTCCCTCTAGTGCTGAGTATTAAAATAGTCTATAAAAGCAAGTGACCAAAAATCTATAGCTCTAAGAATACCTGGTTATTTTCTGCTGTCTTTTGTCTGGTGTTTTTTTTTTTGTTTTTGTTTTTTTTTAATGATAATTATTATTGATATTGGTATATCTCCTAATCACAGTTAAACCTGAAGGAAGAAAGGAGGAAAAAGAAGAGAGAAGAGGGAGGGAGGGCCCCCGCTCATAGATTGGACGGCAGTTTAGAGCGCACTGGCTCAGACCTGGCCCCAGGTTCCCTCTGGGGAACAGCAGTCAGAGGGGGACCCCCAGAGGAGGCGGCTCTTGCCCCGAACAAAGAAAGAGGGGGTGGCAAAGAACCTGAGGATGTCTTCCGAGGCAGAGTGACGTGCTGGCCAGGGATGGCACCATAGGGCCTCCCAGGCGGACCAAGGCCACCGCTGCCCCCGCTGCCACCACTGGCTCTGGGGAACAGCTGGAAGGCAGCCACGGACTCCCCAGAGGAGTGTGGGGAGGCTCTGTGCAGAGTCTGCGCCCCATCCTGGGGTAGGGCCGGCTGAGAGGCTGAGATGAGCTTGAGGTCCTGGGTGAGACGGCCTGGGGTGAGGGGTGGCGTACCCCGGCGTTGTGGAACCTGGGGTGGCGGGGGGCTGGATATAGGTGGCAGGAGCAAGGAACCATGGGAGCCAGAGGCCCGGGGTGGGGCACTTGGGAAAGTTCTTGGGGGGCCTGGGCTGTGGCCAGGAGGACTGAGACCTCCTCGGGGGGTAAAGGCTATAGGAGAAGCGCCCCCAGAGGCCCCTGCCACGGACGGCCGCTCAGGCTGCCGTGGGGGTGTCTCTGGCGTACTTGACAGGCCAGCAGCCAGACCCGGGGACACCTCCCCGGGAGGCTGGCCCAGCTGCCCCGGGCTAGACGATGGGGACCTGGATGAGGGTGGAGGCGGCAGGAAGTGCTCCAGGAGTCCCAGGCCTCCCCGGGCCCCCGGCAGCGGGGGAGGTGGCTGGTTGGCCTGTGGGGAGCGGGCACCTGGCTGCAATGGGGTGAGCAGGGGAGAGTCGGAGGAGGACAGGGAGCCTCCCAGTGCCTTGTGGAAGTGGCCAAACCCAGCTGTGGTGGTGGCAGCCGTGCTGGAGGATGGCGTAGGAGCTGGAGAGGAGCCACAGACCCTGGGCGGTGGGGAAGAGCTGGATGAAGGCAGAAGAGGGCTCAGTCCTGCAGGGGCGGAGAATCCAGCCAGCTGTTGGATGTGGAAGGAGGAGGAAGATGGCGTGTCCACCTGGGATGGGCTGCTGGCGGGTGAGGCAGAGCCCAGTGCAGAAGGGATCAGGGATTGCAGGCGCTTCAGGTGCCTGGGCGTCTGCCCCGCCCCGAGGCTGCCCAGCCCAGGGCCTGGGGGAGGGCGGAAGATGGCAGCGGGCAGGCGTGGGTGGTGGGTGAGGGCTATGGCCACGGAGGTGGTGGCGGCAGCAGCCTGCAGCGGCGCCTGTATCAGCGGGGTCCAGATGACCGGTGTGGGTGTCGGCGTGGCAGAGGCGGCAGCCTGGACGCGGTGCGCACAGTGGGCCATCTCACGGTCATGCTGCACAATCTGCTGGATGATCTCGTTCTCCTGGTAATTGAAGACGCCCGAGTTGAGATCATGTTGGACTTTGTGGAGGAGGATGGAGTTCTTCTTGCCTGAACCATAGAAGGAAAGCAGGGACTCAGGCCTAGGCGGGAGGAGAGGGGGCGGCCGGCCGGCCTCCTTCCACCCTCTCACCAGCCGCTCACCGATGCGGTCCAGGCGGTCCAGCGCCACGGTCTCGAAGGCCCGCCGCATCATGGGGTACTCCTCCAGCACCTCGTTGAAGTTGTCCACGCTCAGCGAGTACAGACGGCAGTAGGTGTCGGCCCTCACACTGGCTGTGCGCCGGCCCCGCGTCAGCAGGCAGATCTCTGCCAGGACAGCAGGAGTCAGCATGGCCTCCAAGGGGTGTCCGCCCACCCTGACCTTGAGTCCCCACTGTCTGGTACAGAAGCTTAACGGATATACTCACAAGATCCCCAGCCCAGGCCGTGCACACTCTGGATGCCACCTCCCCAACACTAAATAGGTGGCAGGCTCTTTCCTCCACCTCTGGGACATACCCTCATACTGGGCTCGCAGATGCCCGCCTTCAGGCAGTGGCTGCGAAGGGCCTGAAATGTCACCTTCAGTGTCTCTCCAGCCCACTCCCCTGTCCTGCCAGAGCCCCCTGGCCACCTCACCTCCAAAGTAGGAGCCGTCTGCCAGCTTGGTCTCCTTGTTGCCCTTGGTGAGCACGCTGACCACGCCGTGCTGGATGAAGTACATCTTCTTCCCAATGGTGCCTTCGCGGATGATGTAGTCGCCTGGCTGGAAGACCTCAAAGCGCAGCTTGGTCAGCATGGACGTCACGAAGTTGGGGTCCGCGTTGGCAAACAGAGGCATGGAGGCCACCAGCTTCCGGCAGTTAAAGTTGATGATCTCCTGCTCCCCAGGAAGGGTGGATTGGGGAAGAGGGATAGGAGGGTGAGGGGAGGAACCAGGCAGAAAGGCCTAGCTGCCTTTGCACCCGGCCACCCACCAAGCTCACCTCCCGCAGGGGCTCGCTCAGCTCGCCCAGGATGCTCTCCTCATCAAACATCTTCCCCTGGTAGCGGTGCTCGTAGTAGTCGTGGATGCGCTGCCGGGTGTCTGGCGGGAGCTTGTGGAAGGACATGTACTGCTCCACCTGCTTGTACTGGGTCCCGGGAGAGAAGGAGAGGCTGTCACCTCCTGGACCACCAGCCCCACTGGCCGGGCTGGCACCACCTGGCCACAGCCCTGCTGCTGACCAGAGCTGGCACCGATCCTGGGGCCTATTTGGCTCCTTGAGTTTGAGGCCCTCGGTGTACGTGCGGTCACACTGTGCCCCAAACAATGGCCCTGACTGCCAGCGGCTGGGGTGTAGGAGGGGCTCCATCAGAGTGTGCCGTCTTCACTGTGTTCAATACTGTGGAGCTGGCCAGGGACAACAGGGACTGTCCAAAGCCCGGTTACAAGAGGCCAACTGACCAGGAGGTCAGTGAGCTTCCCACTGATCACCAGTCTCCTCCGCGTCGCTGCGGACCGGGGAGGCCCCACTGACTCAGGGACTCTTTCCTACTAGTGGTGACAAACTGGCAGAGGTGGCAGGATGGGCTGCAATGGGTTACAAGGGCCTGAGGCTGAAGCCAGGATGTCTGAGCCATCATGTGCTATGCATCCAATTGTGGCCCCAGCTCAGACTGAGTCACTTTGTGGAAGAGCAGCTCCAGCCCAGGGGAGGGGCCAAGTAGAGCAGGGAACTTAAACAGAGGTCTGGGACAAGAGATGGGTGAACCTAAGTGCCCAGGGCTCAAGCAAATAAGAAATGCTCCTGTCCTCCCTGTGGCTGAGGGGTGGGCGCTGCTCCAGCTGGCCTTGGGGTGTGGGTGGAGAGTGGGAGTCCTCTGGAACACGGCTAGGGACCAGGGGGCACTGACTGGGCAAGAACAGATTCTTCCCACACTGGGATGCAAGGGGAGTCCCTTACCCCAGGAACAATCAGAATAGGGAGCCTGTTCTCTATCAGGGCTCCAAAGAGGCAGAGGCACAGCGCTGCTGTAGAGATGCCAATGGGCAATGTGGGGCCTGTGGCATGCTCTTATTCTTCCAGCCAGTCTGGCCTCTGTCTGCTCAAAGTTGTGCCCAGCCACAGGGGATAGCAACTTCCTGGCTGGCTATGGGGACAGGGGCAGCCAGAACAGTGAGAGCTGTATTTCAGAGACTTCACCATGCATGGAGAACCAATAGGGGTGGGAGGCGAGGCCTGGAGTTAGAAGGCTGTTGAAGTGGTTCAGGTGAGAGATGGTAGTAAGGACAAAGGGGAGATAATATGTTTAAGAGAGATTTATGGGTGAATAATATATTGGAGAGCTATTAGCTCAAGGATAAAATAAAGACAATTCAAATAGAAAGCCACAAGCAGCTTGATTCTGCCCAACAATAAACCCTGGTGATTTTTCTAAACTGTCCCTGATCGTGATCCCAGACTAAGTACCCATTCTGGTCACACGTTGAGCCCCTAATCCTGGTCACATACTGGGCTCTGGCCCTGGTCAAGTGTAGAATTCTGACCCTAATCACACACTGGTCCCTGATGCTGGTCTCCACTGATTCCTCACCTGGCCCTAGATGAAGCCCTGGCCCTTGTAACCTGAACCCTCTTTTCCCTTCCCTTGCCTCTCACTCCTACCCCAGAATGCTTTGTTCTAATCAGGCTGATTTATTTACCACCCACCTCCACACAGTTGTTCACGCTCACGCTCATCATGATGACTGCCCTAGAACTCTCTTCCACTTTCTCCTTCCTCTGCCTCCCCAAAACAACCTTCACAACCTGTCCTGGCTCTGCACCTGATGCAGTCGGTCAGTTAGTTAATCAATACATACTGAGCCCTACTATGTGCCAGACACTGGGAATTCAATGCAGGAAGGACAGACCTGGCCCTGCCCTCGAGGAGCCATGGCCTGGATAAGGAAGATGGATATGAAAAAATCACCTACATATGAATAATGAAATAATGATGGCAGCGCAAAGTGTGATGAAGAATTAGAGGGTGCCATGGAGTCATGTGATGGGTGGGGGCTGCCTGGGTCATGGGAGGCTTCATCAGGGTGGTGAAGTTTAGGCTGAGCTGTGGAGAATGGGTCAGGTGAAGAGAGGAGAGTTCCAGGCTCGAGTCTGTGCCAAGGCCCTGAGGCAGGAAGGAACACGCAGGGAGGTCTGGCAAGGCCGGAAGAGGGCTATGGGGCCCGTGGCATGCTCTGAGCAGGAGAAGGGCAGGGTCCTTACATGCCAGGCTGAGAATACACACGTAGGAGATAATCTACATCTAGGAGTAACACAAAGGCTCTATAGAGCTTTTAGCAGAGTGATATGATCAGATTTATATTTTTAAAATGCCAGTGCTATCTGCTGTCTGGAGGAGAATGGAGTGGAAGGTGGCAGAGACTCTGCGCTAACATAGTCGTAAAGGTCACTCCTCACAAACTCTATGATATAACCCCTTGTACTGTCTCCATTTTACAGATGAGCAAATAGGACACAAAGACGTGATGTGACGTGCCCATGCTCAATGGGGAGCTTGTCGCTGGCTTAGAACCCAGCCAGCCTGACTCCAGTATAGCCCTCTGGTGAGGAAGCCACTGCAGTGACTCAAGTGGAGGCCAGCTGGGATGATGGGAAGGGAGGGAGGCATTAACGACCAAGAGATGTCAAGAATGGCTCCCGCTTTCTGGCCTGGGTGACTGTGTTACTGCATCCACTAACAGGATAGGCAAGAGTTTGGAGTAGAGAGCGTGAGGGACATTGTTCTCATTTTGGACATGATGAGGTTGAGGTGTCTAAGGAGGCATCAAATAGACAGTCTGAGGCTGTGGAAAGAGGTGAGGGCTGACTATATCATTTGGGTCCCACTGCATAGCGATGGACATGGAGCATGGGGTGGGGTGGTAAACCAGTAGCACCTGGGAAGACAGGAGAGACAGAGGAGCAGAGGGCCAGGCACAAACCAGAACAGTTAGAGCTGTATGATGTCCGAGAAGACAAGCAGCCAAGGAGAGCAAGAAGAACGGGCTGAAAGGAGGAGGTAAGCCGAGCGTGCAGTCCCGGAAAGCAAGCGTAAAGCCAAGAAGAGCGGGATAACTGTTATGTGCCCTGAGACGGCAAGCAAGACGAGGACCCCAAAGGACCTACTGGCTTTAGCCACGTGGAGGGCCTCGGTGAACTTCAATTCAGTGGGCTGAGATATGGATTCAGCACACCCAACTGGCAGGTCCTCCTGAGAGAGCCCAAGGCGATCACAGCTTTCTTCCCTACCTTCTCCTGGTACTGGCGCCGGGAGGAGTCCAGGGACTGGATGAGGGCGGTGGCGTGGCCGATGAACATGGCGTAGCAGGTGGCGCCCACGATCATGCTGAGCATGGTGAGCCAGACGTCGGACATGCCCACAGGCGCCTGCCGTCCGTACCCGATGCACAGCATGTGGCTCATGGCCTTGAACAGGGCGTAGGAATACTGCTTTCCCCAGGAGTTGTTCTGTGGACAGGCGCACATGTGGACAGACACAGGGTAGGGTGGTAGTGAAAGCTCACACCGGTGAGAGGGCGGACCTTCTCACCGCACCTAGAAAAGTCCCCACTGCCTCATACCCCAC